GGGTCTGCTGTGGCTGTCTGATTTTATAAAATGTCTTCATGAAGTTGCTTGGAGTCAGAAGGTGTCAGGGGGAGTATAGTCTAATAAGTTTCAAAAATTCATATATTACAGAAAGGTCAAAATATATTTTATATACAATTAACCAGGAACATTTTGTYATATCTGATTCAATAAACCTTTTTTTTTCATGCTTTGCACACTCAAGGTTGCTAAGAACATAGACCAGTGGATGACAGCATTAAGTGCACAACCTGCTGTTCCTCTCAGACTTGGGGATGAAAATCATATCAACAGTAAACATGGAGGTAATATAAAGTGCTATATTACTGAACAAAGCACAGAAAATGTTCTTTAATAATCATTATTAATCTTAATGATTAACAGGAATAGAGGCAGATTTTGAAGCCTGGACGAAAGAACTCCTTGCTACCTTTAAGTCAACAAGTTCATGTGAATGTGGAAGTCAAGAAACTTGCTGTAAAGATGAGAAAAATCCTCAACCACTCTTGAAGGATTCAGATGAAGATGTAAATTTGAATTATTTTGACCGTTTGTGTGTTAAAAATTATCTTAAAAAGTTAGAGTTGAGCTTGTAGTAATTTTCATGATTTTGATTATCATCAAGGCAATGTATGAAAGCTCCACTGATGAAGATAATGATGATGAGAGTGATAAGAACAGGAAGAAAGATCCCAAAAGTTCAGGGATGGTGGATTTAGAAGACCTTGGACCTGCCTTGAGAAAGATGAAGAAAGCAAAAGAAATGGAAAATGGTTCGCTAGTAAATGGTAGGTTTCTCTAATTCATGAGCATGGTTTTTTTTTCTTGATCTTGCTATTCCTAACATTATTTATTTCATCTTTTCTCACGTTTCTTGTCTCATTTTTACATCTACATGTAAGTTAAATTGTATTCTTACTAAAATGCCCTGCTATTTTTGGGCAATTTTTTAATGAATTATTTAAAAAAACTAGTCCAAAAATGGGATGGCATTTTAGTAAGAATTCCGTAAAAAAAACCTCATTCTTGTACTGGACCTCACAACAGATGAGAGTAAGAGAGAGATTTTTCTCAGAGCATAAAACTATTGACAGGCAATATTAAATAGATCTATTTGGTCTTGGTGCAATGTTTACCCATTACAGACCACATGTCATTCCCAAGAGTACATTGAATTTCTTTGTTTAATGAATGTGTATGAGAAGACACATGAATATGGATACAACTCAAATAAAGAATCATATTCACTAGGGAATGACACATCTGAATCTTTGGTCTGAAATCGATAAACATTGGACCAAGACAAATAAGGTCTATTTTAATGATTAGATAATATCAAGCATTGTTTTTACAGAACCGAAAGAGATGGTCACAACTGTAATAAGAGAATCTCTTACAAAACAAGGTATGGATGTTTTGAACAGACCTTTTTACCTTGAACATAGATGTAATATCATGTTAATTCAGACAAAGTGGCATCCTTTAGTAATAACATTCCTGCCTGAATAAAAGAATAATTGTCAAGGGAAGGCCTGTCACAATATAAAATATAGAATTTTACAACTCTAATTGTGTACGTCTTGAACTGTAGGCTTAGAGTAGTTTCCAGTCTTATATTAAAATTCTGATTATTTTTGTTACAGGTTATAAAATCATTGGGTCTCATTCTGGTGTTAAGATCTGTAGATGGACAAAGGTTAGCTCATGAAAGCAAAGTGACGATAATAAATGTGCTGATAAAATAGTGTTATTGATAAAAGGAACTGTTTTTTCTTCCTTGTAGGCTATGTTACGTGGGAGAGGAGGTTGCTACAAGCATACATTCTATGGAATAGAAAGTCATCGTTGCATGGAGACTACACCAAGCTTGGCTTGTGCAAACAAGTGTGTCTTCTGTTGGAGGTAAGCAGCGTGGAGTGGATAGGGTGTCATTGGGTAATGAGAAGGGTGTCATTGGTGAAGGGTAGGATGTCAGTGGGTGATGGGTAGGGTGTCAGTGGGTGATGGGTAGGGTGTCAGTGGGTGATGGGTAGGGTGTCAGTGGGTGATGGGTAGGGTGTCAGTGGGTGATGGGTAGGGTTGTTAGTGGGCGATGGGTAGGGTGTCAGTGGGTGATGGGTAGGGTGTCAGTGGGTGATGGGTAGGTCGTCAGTGGGTGATGAGTAGGGTGTCAGGGGGCGATGGGTAGGGTGTCAGTGGAAGATGGGTACGGTTGTTAGTGGGTGATGGGTAGGGTGTTAGTGGGTGATTGGTATTTTTTATGGTTGGTCAGTAATACAGTGTCTAAATGCTGTTAATCTAGGCATCATACCAACCCTGTTGGTACAGAATGGAAGTGGCAGATGAATGAACCAGAGATGATTGTAGATGGTGCTATGCAGAATCACTTCAATATGATAAAACAATTCAGAGGTAGGTAATGATTCATTCAGAATCAAAAACTAATAAATGTCATTCRCAGTGTTTTGATAGTGATTGATGACAGTTGGCGTTCTTCATTGATAGTCAATAATGTGAATATATTTCTTTGGGCCAAAAGTTTACAAACGAAAAGAATGACTAGAAGGGCTTTATAGTATTCACTGTAATACACTCATAGAGAGTCATTAAACTGATGATGGACAATGGATATTGTCYGAAATATCTTACTTAAAAAGCTTCTAGTCATTCTTTTCGTTTCGTCAATAATACTTGTAATGAATTATAATTAAAGCATACTGGTCATGTGATAAATCACATCTTTCAAATAGACTGTGAAGGTTCTCTTACTGTATTTCCAAATTTTTAATGAACTTGAATTTGATTTAGGTGTTCCTGGTGTAAAACTTGAAAAATTTGAAGAAGCAATGAAAATAAAGCATTGTGCACTGTCCCTTGTTGGTAAGCTAGGTTTCATTTAATGTTTTGATAATGTTAAAAAAAATAAAAGATTTACTTACACGTAGTAAATAAATAAAGGTTATTACTAGTTGTGTATAACAGGCAGATAATTTTACAAGTAAATGCCCCCCAGAGCAAAAAAAATAAAAGATACAGCTTCACAAGAAAGAGTGCATACACGACTTTCATAACTGACTGCTGCTAATTTGCATAAATATTAAAAATCAATGTTTTTGGAGTGAAAACCCAGCTCTYGTTGATTTAGATAAGGCATGTGAGTTTCTACTTAAATTAATAAATCCTTTACAAGATTAGAGCATTTGAAGTTTTGAAAATGCACCAAAACGAGGCCACCAAGGCTTCCAGTGCTAAATACATACAAAACTTTCTATTTTCGTTCTTTCATAACTTCTTTGGTATGCAGTCAAATTCTACAAAATTTTCTGGAAATAGTTTTCGTGAAGTATTTTCTCAGATAGCATTAATAGTTTCTGGTAAAAAAGCTTCATTTTCTCTATCTGAAAAAACTGAGTTATGAAAGTCGTCTATGAAAATAACTTGTGATCAATCAACCTTGAAAGCCACGAACTCAACCCACTGATGTGAGCCGCACAAATTAATCAAAATAAGACCTGTCAATTCTGACATAATATCTGACATTTAAGTTTATCCTTTTTAGAAGTTCATTGATAATTACAATCTAAAAGTATAAGAAAATTTAAACCTTTTTGAACCATTTCAGGTGAGCCAATCATGTATCCCAAGATAAATGAGTTGATCAAACTGCTACACGGCCATGAAATCTCTACATTTCTTGTTACCAATGCACAGTTTCCTGATGCAATCAAGTGAGTATGCATGAGTAGAACTGACTAGAATAGTTTTTAAATTTGCTTGCTTRCTCAACACAGACTTGTACCCAGTCGCTTCTCTTGTCTTATTGAAGGATTTAGTGAGTTCCCGGTGCATCAGGGGAAGGACAGCTTTTCTCTCTCCTTCCCAAAAGCCACCGCACGCAAAAAAAAAGCGTGAAGCAAATGACGACTGGGTATGAGTCTGTGCTCAACATACATCCAGATATGTACAGTATGATGAAGACAAGGAGATACATTTAACACTTATCATTAATTATCATTCGCAATGATTATGTATAAGACCAGTGTTTGTAAAGTTTTGTTGATGTGTTGGTGATGTGTCTGCCAAGTGTTGACAGTGTGTTGGCATACAGTTGGGGGACAGTTGACCGACATGTGTCCGCTGGTTATAAAGTACATGATTATGAATTATGTATTGTTACGTTCATATAGATCACCCCTATCAATAATGACAAGCCTTTTTCAACTTACTACATTTTCTAATTGTAATGTTTTACCCCTTCAGAAATCTTGTTCCAGTGACACAGCTCTATGTTAGTGTAGATGCAAGTACGAAGGAAAGCTTAAAGAAAATAGATAGACCATTATTCAGGGACTTCTGGCCTAGATTCTTAGACAGCCTGAAAGCATTATCAGATAAGGTAATGCTACTTGCTTTCCGAGTGCAAATATGTATATTTTTTGGAAATGGAAATATGGCAGCACACATGTCAATTATAACCATTCAGTTTTTCTAAAACACATTGGCTTGTCAGTATTTGCATTTGAATGAACTCTGTTTATTTTATCCACACCAACTTCCAGCAAGTATTCAACTGATTGATTGATTGAAGTTGTTCAAATATTTTCATGGTTTTAGGGTCAAAGAACAGTTTATCGATTGACGTTAGTGAAATCATGGAACACAGATGAACTCAAGTCTTATGCTGACCTTGTGGCTCTTGGCAAACCAGACTTCATCGAAGTAAAGGTAAAAAAAATCAACATTAAAATGATAAGGATTATGAAACACAATGTCAAAATTGTTTCATTCCAAAAAAACATGATTCTTTTTGTCAATTTATAACTAACCTGTAACCCTGGAAGGGGGACCAAGGGGGTGGGAGGACTCTCTGCTACGTTTTCCTGCCTTCTTGCTCTCCCTCCTTTTTGAATTCTTCCAAACCCCTCCGCACCCATTTGTCCAGCAACCTCACTCTATTTGCAAAAGAGTTTGTTAATCCCTCATTTAATGACGATTACTAACATTCTACTAAAGATAGTGTAATATAGCACAGCTTAAAATAATGGCCCAGCATAAGACTGTCAATGTATGCCCAGAATTGGAACTTGTCTGGCAAAGTCTTTGCCTCGTTGGTCATTTTGAACAGTAACGTTGAGCCAGAAATGAGGTATGACTGAGCTAAAGCTAGTTTGGCCACTCCTCATGACTGCTGACTTGACACTCATTATTCTTACCCCTGTGTAGTGGTCATTAATCTATGTTTATTTGTTTATTTAGGGTGTCACTTATTGTGGGGAGTCCAAGGCTTCTACTTTAACAATGGCTAATGTTCCATGGCATCAAGAGGTCAGAATTGTGTATGCTTGTTACAAATGAATAGGACAGTTTATTAGATGATGTTCACAGGGTTCCCATGTTTACCCCCATTCCTGGCTGGTACTTACCATTTACATGRCAATCTATTTATAGGTGGTTGGCTTTGTTCAGCAACTTGTAGCTCTTCTACCTGACTATGAGCTGGCCTGCGAACATGAACACTCCAACTGTCTTTTGATTGCACACAAGAAGGTAAATTGATATGAGGAAAAACCTGGAATGGCTTTTAGAATGATGTGATCATATTTTTCCATCTCCACTATTCACTTATGAATAAATAACACCTTAATGGACAGGGGTGGGGAATTTAGTTTCTGAGGAGAGGGAAGGGTTTCTTCTGATGCTCTCTTTGTGGACCAACCTGAAATAGAGAGATCTAACTCCAACCCTGATTCATTGCATGAGGGTGCCTAGTTTAAGAAACTTGCCTAATTTCGATTTTTTTTTTCCACAGTTCAATATAGATGGTGATTGGCACACATGGATAGATTATAGTAAATTCCATGAGCTGGTAATTATTCAGACATTATTCCTTTTAATTTACTGTTAATAGGATTTTATACCACTGATAAGCACCCTCTGCAGGAGGGTACCAGCAGGACCAGGGTCATATCCAGCAGGTCTATATTCCCCATTAATATCAACAAATATTCCCTCCCTCCTTCCACTAAACACCTCCATAAATCATC